TCTGTATCTCCCTCCATAAATGTCGTGAAGGCAAAGTCGGCGTCTAAGCGGTCCAGCACCTGAGTTCGCAGTCGGCGCACGGTCTTGTTACTAATGCTTTTGATGGTGTCCATCTATATCTAAGGAATATTTTATCCTCCGTTTGCGACCTTGCCCATCGTTTCGGCTACCTTTAATCCCCAACACAGCAGCAGTAAGGGGCTCAGCGCGCAACATATAACAGAACACGGGTAATTCCCGCGGGGGACGCTAGTGCATAAACACGGGTAATTCCCGGGCGATTCCGAATGGTGATCGCGAGTCCCCCTTACTGCTGCTCTCCCTTCTTTCAGACGGGGAGGAGGTAGACTCTGCCGATGTAGAGCGTTTCCTTTGATACACTGCCGTCCACGATCGTGGACGAACAAAACCAGTTTTAAATCCGGTTTTTAACCGGTTACTTGTAGTGCGCGTGAACAAATGTAACAAATCGTTTCGCCAAACGTTTTTTGACGAGAGCGGCTGTTAAAATCATGATAGCGTTGTTCGGCAGAGTTTATTTTTCTCACCACCAAAACAAAAGGAAAATAGGCTCTACTAGCAAGGAATGTGGAGGGAGGAAATCCCAAAACCTGGAGAAGATGTGATGATGAGTACAGGAATCGAACTCGCGAGACCACAGAGATTTGTTTCTCTACGAGATCTGCGACTCATACTCGTTCCATGTCAGTTTGTTACTAGAATCCTAGTATGTGACATCCTTGAGTTTATGGAATTAAAAAAATGGGAGCTTTAACTTTAACTTTCCTTTGTGATTAGATATTTTCACGCTGGATTAAAGCAATAAGATCAAATTCGTAATGTTTCTTTTATCCTTTCCTAGGCATCATTCAATCTTCAAATCAGCGAGCTCAAGACTGGTCGTCCGCTGTCATCGTTAACACAGCTGCCCATACCAGGACCTGCACCGTTCCCTGCCCCACCAGTGCTACAACCACTGGTACAGGTATGTACTTTTACCTCTCTGTCCATGGAAGGAGAATTAGACGACTTGTTTCCCTTGTAGGGATTGGATTTCCGTTTCGCACTAAAATTGTCGCCATTGGCTGTTTGATATAATTTATTCACCGACGGAAAACCGTAAATTTGGCGCGAAGCAGGAAAAAAGTCCTCGGTCGCGGAAAAGAAGGGACAGAGGACTATTAAAAAGCCAAGTCAGTACTTTAGAAATATTCACGTGGCGTGGCGTGCCTTGCGCGTGACGCTCTTGTTTTCCACTCGCTTGTACAAAACCCCGAAATTAATGTTATACTATATAGCATTATAGTGATCCTGTTTTCATCATGTTATTTGTCGTAGAATTTCCAAGTTCAAGCCCAACCACTACCACCCCTACAAAACCATCCCAAGCCCACCCCAGACGTGCAAATGAACCCAGTATCACAGTACGTGGGTCACTCTGCTCCACAAATGGCTGTAGTAGCTCCCCAGCCCCATTCCATCGTCCCCAGCGCTGCCATCCCTCCAGGAATACAACGACTACAACAACAACAGCAGCAGCAGCAGCAGCAAAAACAGCTCCAGGAACAACAACAGCAGCAACAGCAGCAACAGCAATTCAAGGGACATCCCGGACCTTCTCAGATCTCCAAACGGGTACCCCAGGCTGCACCTGAGGGAACATCTTCTAGTGGGGCTAAACCAGATGCTGAAAACAAGAGCCGCCCTACCAACAGCTTTGATAGAATCATGCTAAGGCTGTCTACCATGTATCCTTATCTCGCCAGGTTAGTACGGAATTTACGCTCTGGGATTGGCTAATCTAGTGGCGAGTTACGAGCGTGTATTGAGAACCGATGGTAGTGCAGTGTTAGAACACTCGCCTTCCACCTTCATGGGATTTTCCTCCCAGAAAGGCTTGTAATAAAACAGTTTTCTTATGATTTGGAAAAATTCTCCATTAATAAATGCATGTCGTTATGGTACCATTGCGGAGCTTTTTACCTTTAACGGTTTTAATGGACTACTTCGACGATACGGCGGCCATCTTGCTTCGCAAGGCATTGTGGGTCATCCAGGGGCAAACAGCTTTGTGATGACGTCCATTGATATTAATAGCTCACCAAGAGAGAATACAGCAAAAGGTGAACTAATACGGTACATTAATCACCTTAACCCATAAAAGAAAGACAAACACACGGAACTATATATATTTCCCGTCATCGTTTGTTTGTTTTACCCCCTACCAAGATGGCCGCCGTATTATATCGTCGAAGTTTAATTTCGTACCGTAACCGTAACCGTGCCGTGACCTCATGCGCCGTGATTGTCACGCAATCCCTCTTATGTGTTTATTTTTCAGGGCTGAACTTACTGGTTTGATCAAAGAGGTTCGTCAGAACAAACGAGGCACTCTAACAGGACTGTCACTGGAGGAGATCGTCAAGAGTGTCTCTGATCTAGTCGCTGCTAAAGTCAAGGTAACACAGCAATTAGTCACGGCAATATTCTTCCATTTCAAACTGCATTGCTTTTTTTACAGCTCGACATGCAAAAGTACAACCGTGTGATACCTAATACACAGCTATGCAACATATTTTCTTTACAGTCAAAAGTGGCGGATAAAAATGTTCAATTATTGTAGCATCTAAATAGTCTTTCGCTTTTTTTGCGTGCAGCGTGTATCGGCAGCTTTTACTGTGGTTCGACACTAACGTGTTTGCTTCCTGAACTGTTATAAACGTGTACTTTTATTCCAATTCCAGGTTGGCATAATAGCCTTTCCTGCAGGACAACAACAGCCTCAAACAGCACAGTCTCTGCGACCCACTGCCCAACAATCACGACCCTTCCAAACCAACCCGACCCCACCCGGGCCGGGAATGAATGGCACGACAAAGAATTCTTCACCACCACCCCCTGCGGCTTCGGCACTTGATAATAACAAGCCATGCGGATATTTTGAACTGGATGACGACGACGACCCGTGTGTTATATGCCATGATGATATGAAGTCTCCTATAGATACTGTTACCCTAGAGTGTGGCCACAAGTATCATAACGCGGTAAGTCACGCGACACACTTTGTTGAGGGGGAGGGGGGGGGGGAATATAAAATGGTGAAGGGTTGGACCTCGATCTTTTTTTTGCTCTCCCAATTCCAACCACAACCAATTCCTATAGATACTGTTACCCTAGAGTGTAGCCACAAGTATCATAACGCGGTAGGTCACGTGACATTCTTTTTGTTGGGGGGGGGGGGGGGGGGGGGGGGGGGGGCTGAAATAAAAGTGGTAAAGGGGTGAACCTCGATATATATATATTTTGCTTTCCCAATTCCAACCAAACCTCTAATATTTGTGAAGCATTCAACAAGTTCTACACCCTCTCGGTTAAGGATCGTGCTCCTTTCGTTGCGTACCCTCTCAGGTAAGGCACGTGCTTTCTTAAATCTCCTTGGAACATGTAGCCGTCAACATTTTCCGCCAACTTCTATATTTTAAAGCCGGTGTCGTACACCCCTTTTAGAAATCTCGGTCAGTTTGTTATATCACAGTATCTAGAAATGCGTGACGCTTATTTATCTAAGTGATTGACAGCGGTTAATTTTGTGCGGTGCTGGCAGAAAATAATCACGTGATCTATTAACGCAGTCGCATGACTTATCTCGACCTTTGATATCCAAAACATGGAGTCTCCTTCGAGATTAATCCCATCAAAGATGGTATAAACAGGGTTAGTCTGTCGATCTCTCAGCGCCCGATAAGCCGAATGAAGTGTGCATTATGTGATAACCCTGGTCAGTCGATTGGAGTGTGTTATTAGTATTAACATTATCCAAACATTGCTGAGCAAACTTACACGTTGAGTCATAACATGCCATCTGTATTCTCTCTTAGAGTTTTCGTTTATTAGGGATTGTTCGTTATTTATGCTAGCAGTGTCGTTCGTTATCTTTGCTAGCAGAGTCCCCCTCGTTGACGATTCTTGGAGACTTTGCTAACAGGGATCCCCAGAGAGGGGTCTATGTTGAGAACCACGTAAGGCGCTTTAAAAAATCCCCCCCCCCC